CTCTGCGATCGCATTATTTCCACGGATGTGAACCTTGATAGCCACGTCGAGACGCGGCCAAACGGAATATTTGATGGATGATGTCATCGATCACGCTAACCACATTTGACGCTAGCGTGCACACGAGCCATCAGCATATACCGTCACGTACGAGCTGCGCCCACTACACGACCTTACTCTATTCATCATACGGAATTGCGCGACTCATCTGAAAAGAGGAATTCGAAGAGTTATGGACCTGACACGGCAAGGAACGATATGCGTCCTGGCTGCTGCAAAAACTACAATGTTCGCACCATCCACACCAAGGGGAACGCCGTGACCAAGTGAAGGTGAAAGGGTCTGATGGAAGCAAGATCCCGGAACAAGAGGCAGCATCAAGAGCTATCATGACTGAAACAATCAGTCTCATGAACGCCCGCTCACAATGGAGAAGTCCAATATTGATGTGCTGAGAAAGCCACATTTGTCTATCAGATGGCTCTCTGACGTCTGGCACTGTCGCAGGTCACCTCGACTTGTCCCGTCTTAACCGCTTCTCAGCACAATCCTATTGTTCCGCGAAGTGAACGCGCTCAATATGGGTCGATTTTGCGTCTTCACTACGACTCACAATAGGAATTACCAGCCTTCACCACCCGATTGGGACAAGACGGCAGAAACTCGTGCAGCTCACCTCGAGACAATAGCAGCTTAATGAGACAAAAGTTGCAGCCGTCGACAGCAGTCCTCATACTTAAACTGCCCTTCCCCTTGGCAGCCTCTATCGTCAGACCACCCAGCTTTCTCTATCTTCTCATTACGACTTTCTCAGTTTCCAGCACTTTACCATACATTCGTCAGCACTCAGCTTCTTACTTCCACTTTTCAATCTTTACGATACCCATTACTCTTTACGATACCTTTCCATCATCATGTCTTCCTCTACTCTGCCCTCGGTCGAGCTGGTCTCACCCGGCATGCTTGAAGCTGCCACCATCTTGGCTGGACTTCGTCACACTCGTCCCAGAGATCCCTTTACGACTCCCACAAGGTCACCTTCCGTCATCCTCCCTTCGGTTGAGCAGGCCTCACCGATCGATGTACCCATGGGAGCTGCTCGTGCTGGACACACCTTCGGCCCTCGCTCCACCGGCGCTCCTTCTCCGTCTGTTTCTTACAGCTCTGGCAAGCCTCGTCTGCTCAAGCTCAAGCTCAGGCGCCCCAAGAACACCACCGCGGTCGACTCGACTCCCATCCCCGTGAGCCAGGCTGTCGGCACCCCCAACGCAGAGTCTGGTCGCTCAGGTCTCAAGCTCAAACTGCGTTGCATCCAATCCGCCCTTCATCCTTCTTCACCCACCCCCATTGCTGGCGCTGGCCATAAGCGCAAGATCGATCAACTCGTCACTCACTCTGAGGACGAAAACGACTCCGAGGCCGATATCATGCCGCCCAAGCGTCGCATGAAGCAGACCGCCCAACCTCCTCTGCCCATCTCCGCGCCCACCATGAAGCGCAACAAGCGCATCCTGGACCCGAAGAGGGCTGACCACGCAGCACTCATCGCCACTGCCGCCAAGGCCGGCAACGAGTACTACGACTCGGACGTGGGCGACGTCGCTGGCGACGTCAAAGACACCACCAAGCCAGAACTGTTCCGGAACGTCACTTGGGGCGCATACGCCACCGACTACGCCGACGAGGACAACTTCAAGGCCAACCCTGAGTTCACTCAGTTTGTTCCTGGTCGGTTCGAGCTTCTCGCTGACGGCACCGCGTTCGACCAGAAGCACAAGCTGGTCGTCAAGCTCCTCGACAAGAACGGCAAGAAGCGCATCTTCGCCAACCCTCCTCCGCGCAACTGGGCTTCGCAGGAGGCCACCACGGCGCTGAACAAGCGCACTGTCCAGCAGATCCGGCGCAACACCAGCGTCCGGTTCCGTGAGGTCGTCCAGGCCTACGTGGCGGAGGAGCGCAAGTGGATCCTCGCCAACCTCACCGCCGGCAAGCCCACCAAGGGGTGGAAGGCCTTCGTTGAGGCGTTCAACCAGACCTTCGGCGGCAAGGTTCTCGCGGGTACGGCCGGCGCTCGGCCTTTGAGGAGTCACTCAAGTCTCACCAAGGAGGTGGAGAGATTTGGAGCTGACTTCTACATGAAGGGTCGGGTGCCGGTGACGGCCAAGAAGGTGGTCAAGAAGGAGTGAGTGGTGGCGGCGGCAGCAGCAGCAGGGGTGGTGTGGTGTGGTGTGGTGACCGGTTTGTGGGTGCTGGTGGTGAGCTGGGCGCTGGTCGTCCGTAAGTCTCACCTTGATGATCATTAGCTAGTTGTGAGCTGGGGCTGGTCCCTTGTGAGTCTCAACAATTCATGTATACACTCTCTGAACACTCGCACAATGTCTTCGTGATGATCAATGTTGACTGAAAGAATGATTTGTGTGCCTCCAGGCCATGCATACCAGATGTATTTATTGAACTGCAAGATGTATATCGTCCTCCTGCTGCTATAATATGTACTGTTTTACCCATTCGTACGTACATGTTACCTCTAGCCTCCGCCTTTCGTACCGTGAATCTGAGTCAAAACTCCATTGCATCCGTCGCCATGGCATTCACCCCCATTGATGCAAACACCGCCGCAACATCGTCGACTGCCTGCGTGATCTTCTGCTGCTCCTGCTGCACCATCTCCACACACCGCATGACCTGAGATCGCGCTGTATGCGCATCAGCAGGTCGCGCTCCTTCCGTACCCGCGAAATGATCTACGACATCAAATAGCTGGTGGCCATAGCTGTCGTCTGCGCTCGCGGAATAGCGTGAGGAGTTCGCGCCATTCTTCTCGTCCTCAAATACCGGAAGGTTATACTTTTCTAGCACGGTCTTCGTCATCGTTGCGATCTCGTTGTGGAGGAAGATCGCATCTGAGCTGGAGTTGAGTATGCGAAATAGTGCTGGTGAAGAGCCAGATCCGCTGATGTTGCATCGAAAAACTCGGGTGATGATGGTCCCGTAGTGCAGTAAGTCATTGAGACCAATGATGTCCTTGAGTCTTTGGAGGATACTGTTGGTGTAACAGGACGTGTGTGTGTTCATCTTCTCGACCAGTGTTACCGTTACAATCGATTGTGTGATTTTTCGGTGCGGTTGACTGTTGAATGTGACGTTCTGTTGAAAGCTTCTGATTGTGGTTAAAGTGGTAGAAGGTAAACCGCCGTTTATAAGGGGTCTATAGGCTCTGAACTCAAGAGTGAAATTGGTTGAGTAGAACAAGAGTCAGATCATGGACCGTTCTGGGTCGATACAAGCGGCGAAGAAGGCTCTCATTCACATCGCCAAGGTAGGGCCACAATGATCGAATCGGTGAATTGAGTGAGCTTCTCAAGGGTCGTGACTCCCGCGGAGCGACTGCGGAGGTCTCAAAGCAAGATGTCGCAAGCTTCATCTTCTTGTAAGGCAAGGAGTGTGACGGGTCGGTAGTGACGATCAAAAGCAGCCCTTGACTGATCAGCTAGGTAGCAAGAGATGTAAATGCCATATATATGTATATATATTAGGATTGAAGGAGTTTGAGTAGCAAAAGAGAAGGTAGCTCGTCACTCCAATAAATACTTGCACTTACCTTGTGGTGAGTTGACTTTGCTTGTTTGGCCGCATTATCTGACCTCATCCCATTATTCTATACGAGCAAAACGTCAAAGTTAGTTTCAACGATTGCGCACTCAGTTATGCCAAAGCTTGTCGTACAACAGGACTACGCTGCCAAGTGAGCGTAGGATGGAGTGACCTCTACTACAAGCTGAGCTAAACTGCGCGCGAGACCCTTCAGCCATGATACCTGCTGAACAGGCGCTAAAGTTGCAGCAAACACAGGTTCCGGCGTAGCGGGTAGGTCAAAGGGCGATTGCAACGACAACACAGCTAAGAGAGCAGCAAGATCGAGGACACCAATTTGACCGACAGCAGGCATGTCCAGCACGGTACTGCCAAAGTGGAGACAAGAAGCCTCAAAACCTCTGCGAGCCTGCTCGCGCTGCTTTACAGCCAGACCTTGCTCTTCAAGCACTTTCCACGCCTGCGCATCTTTCGCCAGCTCAGCTGCCTTCTGCGCCTCGTCCAAGCGCCTGTAGATGAAGTCAACTACCACGCATCGCGCAACGAAGACATCCTCTCTCGTCATCAACGAGAATCTCTGCGTGCAATACTCGTGGACTCTTTGTATCAAAGGATGCAAGAGATTCGTACTTTCCAGTACTGACGGCAGGTTCGGTTCGTCCGCGTCGTACATCTCGGAGAGCAAAGCTTCGTGCCACATTTGAATGCGCGGGCGGGAACGCAAGAAGGAGATAAGGTGGGCTTTGGCTACGTGGGCCGAGTCAGACTTGCATAGTATGTGGGCGATAAAAGTCAGGTAGTAGAACCACTCCACTGCCGAAGTGTACGACTGAATCGTGGAAAGGATTGCTGGGATGGTGTACCAGCTTGGGCGCAAGAGCTTTGGCTGCTGGGTGGATTCCATTTCGGTGAAACCGCGCAACGTCGAGCTGATCGTTTGGACACGCTTTGCTTAGTCTTCATTGGGTTGTAGTAGCTGAAAGAAGCTCATGGAATCGCGCATATTGATGGAATGACCTCGGTTGACGGCGTTGTGAAGGGCGATGTCGAGAAACAGTGTCTGTTTGCTACGCAAGCAATCAGTGAGTAGAACCATTACTGGACGAGATTGCATCCGGAGGTGATATGAGTATGAAGCGCGAGGCCGCCATGATCCTTGGAACTCCAGGTACCGATTCTGCTAGTTCCAGAACAGATCATCTTGTGTTTTTCGATCCAAAAAGGTGTGCAGGGCACTCAATGAAAGACGCAAACCACCTTGCACTTGACAGTGCGAGAGCAATCTCTCCGCCACCCCACCATACATTGGAGCACTGTGGCCCCTATGTAGAACAAAGAATACTATCAACACTTACCACTGATTCTTGCAGCCCTCTTTGCTCTACACTGCCCGTACAACAGCAACCATGTCCACTCAGGGGGTTCCGGTAGAAACGCCTTTCCCCGACATGAACATCGACAAGCAACATGGCCCTGTGCACGTTCACAGTGCGACCGCTACAATCACCAGGATCGCGAAGAGCCCACCGTCCGAGGGTTTCACCACTAAGGTCATCAAGGTCGTGATGACATGCACCGGCAACCTTGACACCGACACCATCCTCATCGAGGACCCCGATATCCTTCGCATGTTTGTTGAGAAGGAGGGAAAGATAGTCATCAGTTTCACGCAGCTTCCCATGATGATACCAATCTGGAAGTTGGAACCTGCTGGCCCAATGCCTGACAACCAGGGTCAAGAGGATACCGATGAGGACTTCGAGATGATAAGGAATGCTTGGAAGACCTGTCGACTTGTATGGGGGCGCCATGCGGGACTTGAAGAGCTGAACAGGCGAGCAGCTGTGACTATGCGTGCGATGCAGAAGCAGGACGAGCTTGCTGCTCGAGCTGGTAATGGTAAACAATTGCGTTCTTTTCAAGTTGGTTGTTTGTGCTTTCGAAGTCTGTCTTCCCGCAATTGCGATCGCTGACCCTTGATAAGCTGAGCGTCCACGAGCAGTATTTGCACCATCATTATCGACGACGCCAACAACGACGCCGAAAACGACTCCGCCACCATCGACGACTCCACAAGATAGCCCACCGAGGCATCAGTTCGTTCTCCCTGGTGTACCAGCTTCCAAGAATTCTCGTCGCGTTCCAACTCAGGCAATCCCGTCGGCCCCGACAACGATGACACGTCCTATACGTATCGGTGGTCATACACTACTACAGCCAGAGGACGTCGAAGGTCATTGGAGCGACGCAGAGGAAGAGGTTGGGGGCCAGACTGCTGGCGCCTCTGCATCGACCGGAGCGCATAAGCCCGGGTCTAAAGACCTTGGAGCCTTGGTCCGGCGGCGCCAGGCCGAAATTGAGGCCGCTCAGGCCATGAGGGCGGGGCTGTCGAACCTTTTGGACGCACCTCGTTTAGAGGATGAAGAAGCTGAAGATGCCGAGCTCCCTGGTCCCTCGGGCATAGATGACGAGGGAGACGCGGAGGGACAAGTCGCGAACCGATCGGAAGAAGAGCCTGAAGATGACAGCGAAGATTTTGAAGATAGCAGCGAAGAAGCTGACGATGACAAAGAAGACGGAAACTTCGGGGAGTCTCTCCCTGTGAAGGGCAAGCGCTCGCAAGGTACCCTGAAGAAGGTCTCACGACCGTCTCAGAAGCAGCTTGGAAAGCGACCTGCCAAGCCCACTCCAGTTGAAGCCAATACCCAGCCCCCCAAGTCAAAGCTTCGAAAGACTGGGGTTCCGATCTGGCCGACGACTATCATCACCACTGGTACCGCCGGACCGAGTCTACGACAGGTTATGGAAGAGATGGGCCAGATCCTGACGACAGACGCTGAGCGTCAAGAGTATATGCATCTCGTGTGGACGCGTCGTCGAGCCGCCGAGGAAGACAAGGATGTTACCGCCGAACAAGCAGTGCTTGCTGACCTAGAGACCTTTGTGCGTAATCACGGCATCGTGGACTTGCACAACCGATGGGCACGATGGATGGAGTCTGGCGTGAAGACCGCCATGCCCATGTATAAACCGGCAGGAACTGGTGTGATGGATGCGGAGGAGCGGAAAACGATGTTCGAGAGGAAGAAAAGGGTGCGCCGGGGCTAGGAAGGCTTGGTGGGTTCGAGACGGAATGCGACGGTTCGGTGCGGGTTCATGGTGTTGAGACTTGATAGGGAGTCAAGAAAGCTTTGCGTATGACACTGGTTGTTAGCTGGAGGTAGAACGTCTTCGTTGAAGAGGACAAATTAAAATGTGATGAATCCTCGACATACTGAGCACTGCGCGCCGATATGACGTCGTGTGATCGCTTGCGTAGACCTTGGGCGTGCAACTATTCTTCACAGGTAACCACGTGCGACAAAGAATATTGATGAAAGTGAGGTAAATGTTGGACAGTTTCTTGAGATGGCAACCTTCTTCGGATATCGTGAAGTTTGGTGGTTCAGGGTCCAAGCACGCGTGTCGCGCACGCGACATCGGCGCTAATTTCGGTGATGATGACGTCATCACTCTTCACAACACCACTGCAACCACAACCGCGCATCTCAAGTTACCTTCGGGGATATACATCCAAGACCGCCCATCTGACAACCACATTGAGACCTCAGGATGCTCGCCATAAGCAGGTGTCGTTGCCTCCTTCCCAGCGAAGCGTGGACTTCGATGACGCCTGACAGCGACGAAGACCGCTTACAATGCTCACGACATCCTGCGATGCATGAGATGAATTCAATCTTGCAGCGGCCTGTATCGGCTGTGCAGAGATTTTCCAGCATGCAAATTCACTACATCAATATCGAGCCGCTATGACCAATTGGTCCTGGAAATCGTCGACATTGCTCGTCATCTTATCTGAACCACCACTCTTCCAGTACGCACTCGTGTACTGATCATCACCTCTCTGCCTCTCGTAAGCTCAACAAAGTCCGAAATTGAGACGCTCAGGTTGGAAGTCACGGTGCGTGAAAGCTCGTCGCAAAGGATACCAGCGGTAGAGCACCCCGCCGATCATTCTCTTCACCGGCCGCCATCAACCCTATCTCTTCGACTAGGAAGCCTTGCACTCCTGCATCGGAATTCGCTATTACCGATAGGAAAGTCAATGAAATGGGAAGTGAGAGCAGCGTCCCGGCAGCTAGGTCTTATGACAAAGAACCGAAGCAAGCAGCTAAGAAGCATGAGCCCGACAACAGTGAAACAAATCTACCTGGTACAAACTTCAGCGAACCCAAACCGAAGCGACACAGGACTATCATGGCCAAGACAGTCATAAAATCTCCCACTGAACGCGTACCGCATTCGGTGAACAGTCGTGCGCCACAAGGTCAAGGCACTCAACAAACTGTCGATCACCTCCGGGATAAACACTTTCAGCCTCAAATGCGTGAGAAAGGAGGACGCAATGGAAAGAAAGACACTACGACCGAGACTCCAACAAGACGTTCGCATCGGAAGAAGGCTGGTCGACCGGAAGCTGGACCAACTACTCCTCTGGTAAAGAGTGTAAACAAATACGGCTTTGAAGTATGGGTCCCGGCTACCGGATCGAACAACCTTACGGCGAGTCACAGTGCGAAAAAAGAGACTGCAAAACCTCCTTCTCTTCAAGAAGACGACATCTCCGATGAGGTTTCAGTCGAACCCGCCTCTGATGCTGCTGTAGCTGGCCCACGCAACGAGACTTCTGGAGACGCAATATCCCAAGAGCACACTGGCGACGATACAAGGCAAAGTTCCGTCAGTGATGTCGTTAGGGGCGACGTGAACGAGAAGACGATGCCAATGGAGGACGTTGTCGACACCAACTTCATTCTAGAACGCCTGAAGACATATAATGCACAAACCCCTACCGACAAAGACAGAGGTGCGCAAGATGCTATTGACCGGGATAGGCAGCCGGTACCCGAGCAAGATGTTCAAATGATGGATGTCGATGACGCCCGAGTTAGTGTCACTACCTCTGGCCTTGGTCGTGACGACACCAATCTCCAAGTCAACCACCATGCTCCGCCAAGCTTAATACCGGAGAAGGAATTTGTCGCTGCTAAGGTCGATAACCCATTGCAAGACGATGGCGACGTTGGAAGGACGAGACCCGGCCCCCTGTACTGGCGTGCAGCCGATAAACGAACGGAAACTGGTGTCCACTTCTTCAACATGCCTTTCGAGGACTTGCGTGAGATGACACGACTTCAAGCTCTCGAGCGAGCGCGTCCGCAGTCATCCGACGAACTTCGCGCCCTGTTAGTCTCCGCGGCTACTAGTAGCAATTCTAGTCCCGAAGAGTACACCCTCGCTGATGCCAGAGTCAGGCTCCAAGCATGTCGCAATGCGTTGTATGGCGTTCGACTAAGGGAGCGTATGGCTACAATGCGTACGGCAGCCGCTCGCGCGACGCAACAGCCGCGTGATAGTGTTGCACAACTTGAGGTCATTACCGAAGAGGCACGGAAGGAGCTTCTTGATGCTCAAGATGCGTTTGATGAGGACTTTCGGAATGTTGCTGTCGCCAAACAAGCCCTCAAGAATGTCACAGGTAAGCCCGTGCCAGATCTTCAGGACCCAGAGACGGAAGCGGATGCTTTGAGAAGGGAGAAGATGGTTAATGAGATCAATGGGGCTATTGCAGAGTACGAAGCGCAAGTGAAAGCGTAGTATGGTATCAGCTGAGGCGCACTTGGGGTAAGGTGTTTGGCAAAAGAAGTTGGATGACGGGGCCTGTATGGTAATGTGTAGTGGAGGCATATGGCGGAGACGTCCGATGCGCCGTATCTTGGAAGAAACGAGAGATCGTGATACAGTAGTAAAGTAATGCAAGAGGGCTTCCATCATCTTCATCAAAGTGCTCGCGCATCCGAGGACTAAGCTCGGTCTACAGTACTTTGTAGCATAGAAGACAACATTTGCCTCAACACTAACTATGTACTGCGGTTTCATAAGTGAACGTCTATGGAGGCGGCAAGCGACCCGAATTCATGTGATGCGAAACGCGATAACGATATCGCTAGTTTGACTTCTATAATGCTGCCTGAATGTATGTGAGTAGATCACTTATTGAATCCATCACTGGCAGAAGTTGGACCAATGGTTGGTACTGTGTATAGTTCTTTCAATGTTTTCCCTCGTTTTGGAGGTCGCGAGTGAGAGCGCAAGCGAAAGTGAGACAAAACAAAACAACTCTGCGCGCAAACGCCCACTAGGCGACCATCAATAACATCACATCTCAACGAATCTTCCAGTAACCCCCGAAACATCAATATATCAGGACCAGTATGCGCGAAGAAGGAACAGAAATGCAAAGCGACACGCCAGACCCTCAGCAGTTCTTCACACCCGCACCTACCCCACCGATCAACACCGCGCCTGAGACAAATGCGATGCAGACTCCCAAGATATACAGACGGAAGAGACCACCCACGACGTCGAGCAGTCTTAGCGTCTTTGAACCTCGGCTCTTCGCTGTCATGCCCGAAGCGACAGCCAGCGAGCTCATCAACACTATGCGCTTGATTCTTACCAGAGGCGGCCAGAAGAAGCACTTGCTGGCACTGTGGACGCAGAGAATCAAAGATATTCTCCAGAGGCTGGACAACCGCGAGGTAATCAGGGTGTATAATGAGTTCGCGACTGCGCATGATCATCGAGAAGAGAGGTTGTCGTACAAGCTGCCTCTGGTCGAAGAATTGGCAGAGGAGGAAGAAGAGGCGGACAAGGTCGACGAAGCGCACGACAATATTGGAAGCCATGGTGCGCCCGAAGAGATTGTGGGGGAGGATGCTGTCGCCGACGATGCACTGCAAAAGAAAGCCAGATCTGAGGTCGCACAGGACCTAGATGTCCACATGGAAGACTTACCTCTAGCAAGAAACCTCCAACCTGTCACGATCGAACATGCGAACCCAAAGAGAGCACTTTCGCCTCCATCCTCGTCGCCGGTACTACCACCTGCTCCATTCATTTCTGCAGCAGGTGTCTCATGCGAGAGGCATCCTCCCGGTACCTGCACGGTTGTACGAATCCATGATTTCAACGCTTTTCCCATGACAAAGATCCAAGAAGTCCAAGCCGACTATTATCGAAGCGCCATCATCGTTGCCATGTGCGTACACCGCGACAACAACAACAACCAGGTCACCCAAGTAGCAGCTAGTATGGATAATGGGCCAGTCGAATTCCTCCTCATCAACGATCCACGCATCATTGCATTCCTCGGTTTTCGCCAGCCATCATACGATCCCATCTGCCTCCAACCCAATCCTCGCCTAGATGAGACATATCAAATATTCATGCACCCCGGTCTAGCATCGCGAAATCCGGAGGCTTGGCGAGTTGGCGAGTTGGTATCGGCGCGCCATGCGTATCTATACTGGCTGGATACCAGACAGACCGCAGACCCGAAAGCTCCACCTACTATAGCAGAAGCCAGGATCCTGGCGCCCAAGATAGGTCGCCGGGCTAAGAATGTGTGGGAAGAGATTGAAAGATGTTGGAGTCTGGAGCAGGGTAGTAGTGGAAAGCGTTACCGAGAGAACAGGATGGAGTATCTTGGGGAGGATCCAAAGTATCCTGAAGGAGAGGAGAGGAGATCTTCAAGGAGTATGTGGGTCTAGGTGGACGAGCTGTGCTTGTATCTTTTATTCAGTCGGACTGCGATAAAAGCTCCAGGAAGCACTACAACTGCTTGACATTCCAGGCATGTCCCGAGTTATGCGTATTCGCTAAAGCCACTTCAATGCGGTGAGCGTGATCGTCGACTGTTTGTCGCGCAGGTAATATATGCGCACATCGACATCACTCTCTTGTAGTAATACATCTTTCGAACACATCGATACTTAATGAATCCACGAGTATACAGTGGCAAATCTGGTTCCCGGTGTTAAGGTCCATAAAAAACAGGTGCGACTTACTCTGCCACGGGTCATTAATGGGTGCATTGAACCCTAACATTACACTATATTGTCGTGTAATTCAGCTAAATTGCTCGAACTTCGGTTGGTTATCGGGTCACACTGTCCATGTCCTTGATGTTGGAAGGTTGCGTCAGGAATGGATGGGGTTCCGCTGAGAAGCTTGAGCTATGACGCGTATTGATTACTAAGCACAGATGCAGCCTCAAACCGCGACTGCAAACTTCAGTACTACACGTCGGCCAACAAACATCAACGATTGCCCAATGCCACAATCCTGCGAGCTCCGATGTCTTACCGAAGTGATCTCGCGTTCTAGATACGGGGTTTTCCAGTCCTCTCCTTCCATGGTAGCGAGATCATGCCCACCTAGATAACGCGAAGACGACACGTCCCTCCACGCACCGACGAACGAAAGCCAGCAAGGCTCCCTCCTCCGATCAAAACCTCATGACGCGTCACCCGATACACATTACAATCAACGAATGATCATGGATAAAAACCGACATACACGTACATATGGTTGAACCGGTATACGGTGGTGTTGTGTCTACAGATCTTCGGCACCACCATCCATGTGGTCGTCCTCTGTAGACACAGCAGCTTCTGGCGTAACACTCGTTGGAGCTGTGTCTTCCGGGGCGGTAGTCCCTAAGGCTTCCGTTGGCGGTGGTACGGGTGCTGGCAGGCCACCTGGAAAGGAGCCTGTCACGTAGGATTCATGGAAAAGATCACCTTCATCGTCCGATTCCGCATCTGAGCCCGAGCCCGAGTCATCTTCATCAGGCTCTTCTTCAGGGTCTGCCCACGGCCGTTGCGGTTTAGCAATGATCGGCACCGCCATCGACCGGACCTCATGGACACCTCTCAAATGCGCATCAGGAGCCAGAATATTGCCTACCCTTTCTTGGTTGGATGTTTCCGGAATGGCCATGGGCTCCGCAGATTTGGATGCCTCCGGCTCCATCCCACCCGCACCCTCATCTTCTCTGCATATACGAAGGTCTTCGAACGTCATCGGTTCATAAGGCACGCGTATGCCAATCCTAGGCCATATGGGCCGCCCTGGGGCCTCGTTATTGGGCGTGCTCTGGAACATCAGTCCATAGTGGTCGTATAGCCTAGAGCGGTATACAGGCATACCGAGTGCCGGCACGTATCCATCCGGACCCCCTTCGCTCACGTCTTTGGGTGCATCTATCTCCTGGATGGGCCACTTTACAGGTTCTGCAGGTCGCGTCGGTTGCTCTGAGTATGGTATCCAACACTCGTTCAAAGAGTGGGCCCAGAATGCTCGGCATCTATTGGGATTTAGAAGACATATTTTCCTGCGAGATCTTGGCTCTAGAGCGACAGCTCGCGCATCCGTCTCGGGGAAGCCCATGGGTATGGTCGCATCTGAAATTTCCTCTAACACTGGAGATTGAGGGGGCGAGTTGACAGGTGAGGCATGCTGTAGCTTTCGGTACGTGTGTCGTTCGCGGCGACCGGTCGTTTCCTCTGCCCACTCGGTGGTTACGAACTTGCGTTCGCCCAATTGGAATGGTTTCGAATCTCTCCAGAACTCTCTGGCGGGGTACGGGTAATTGATGGTGGCTTTGCCAGCTCTTCGGCTTTCGCCTACTGGCTTCTCGAGCATGGTCTCGTCGTTAGTCGGCTCACCACCTGCTGAGGCCTTTCCGGATGACTGCGAGGCGGAACCGGGCTTGCTTGTTCCTTTCCCGCGCGCATTCTTCTCTTTTCGGAGACGACGTTGACCCTCTCCGATGTCAGCTTCGCCACTCTTTGCTCTAGTGCCGATAGGATCGCGCGAGTGTTCACCAGTAGGCTGATCACCGGAAGCCTGTGGTGCATCCACCTGGCTGCCGCCTTCGCTTCCACTCTCAGGATATACCAAGTCTTCTGGATCGTCTCTGACTGCGCTTGTCTCAGGGTGCCAGCCCGTTTTCACCGGCCCGAGCAAGTCATACGAAGTCAGCCAGTCCCATGAGCTCTCCCGTGCAGATATGAACAGGCCCTGTTCCGTTCGAATTTGTCCCCACCTGTCTTCGATGATGGTTCCACTGGACGTCGTTACTTCCCGTACATTCGAAGTGTTAGGCCTATCGTTCTTATACTGTGAGACTTCGTCCTGGCGTCTTTCCTCATGCGAGGTGTATAGGAGATTCTCCGTTTCGCTATCTATTTTACTGTCCACCTTTGCCCGCTCTGTCTCAATGGCTGCCTCATCCAGTTCAAAGCGGTGCGGTATCTCATCTGGGATATCGCTGTCAGCGTCGTCTTCCCCTGAGCGACGCAAGCCAACAAGTCGACGCCTGTACATCGGTGTCCACAGGCGAAGTTCACCTGGCCCGACGCGAGGAATAGCTCCTGCACTGTTCCTCATATCCCGGATCTGGTTTCCCAGATGATCTTCGAAACCTTGTCTGTAGCTTTGACCGCCAATGGCTCTTGAGTCGTAAAGTTCAAGTAACGAGTGCAGCCAGTCATAATAACCACCATCGGTGCCTCCCGTTTCGAGCTTGTATGTGAGCTTCCGCTGCAGTCGTTCCGCCTCCGCAAGCATTCTTTCGTCCGGATCCAGATATCGCCCCCTCCTTCGCCGATTGGAGGCCTCCTGATAGAAGAGCCAGTCTTCGAGTACTTGTTGCGCGGTCGTTGTCCAATCGTGGTTCTGTCGGCGTTCCACTCTGTCAAATCTCTTCTTATCTTTATCCTTCTTCACTTTCTTGTAGGCCTGTTGTGCAAGCGCCATCGCCTTCTTGGCGTCTTTGGTCTGTTGTAAATGCCCACGACGATGACCAGTCTGCTGTTCTTCGAGATCTAGGGCATCTCGGTGCGCTTGAAATTTGGCGTTATATTCCGCTTCAATCGCTTCAAATTCGTAATACGCAGCGTGGTCCTTTTCCCAATCCTTTGCCTTCGCCGTCAGCTCTTGCCAGGATTCAAGGCTCTTTTTTATGGACTCCCATGTTTCGTGCAACTTCTTCTTTTTTCCTGGCTCTGTAGTCACCAAAACCAGGTGTGGCATGTATTTATTTCGGATCTCCGCTGCCCTTGGTGCCTCATCAGCTTTGCCAGTACCGTTCTTCTTCCCCCCTTTCTCTTGTTTGCCATCCTGTCCAGAACCACCGTTGCCGCGTGGTTTCCTTTTAGCCATATTCTCGTAGGGAAGGTCGCACTCGACGTGGGCTAATGCGGGATTGTTCAGCTGGACGTCGAAATCGATTGCATCAAATTGCGTAAGATCAGACCGTGGCATTGCAAGAGAACGGGTTGATGGTAATTGTACCATTTCGTTGACTGACAAAACAGTCCAAACAAAGAGCTATTGACCGTCTTCGGCGAAATCTCTGCCCCACCTTCAAACAAAGCCGCGCTCGTTAGGTACAGATGTCCGAAAAGGGCACATGCGCGCACTACCGCTTTAAACAAAGAGCTATGTATGCATGCCGACATCTGGTCGTGGTCACCCAGGCCCGAAGAGTACTCCTAACTGGCCCCTATGGTGGCTTGCTCCACATGTTCTCTCTTATTCATCATGCCAGGTTTTCCGCTTAGGTCGAGCAGTTTTCTTTGGAGGAGACACTCCAGCCATGATCGCATCCTGTCTCTCCCACTCTTCCTTCTGCACGTCGTACAACTCCCGTTCTCCGGCGCCCAACTGGTCACGATTCATTTTCTTCGCTAACCAGAGTGGAGGAATGTGCATATAGCCATCTACCTTGTGGGTACCCTTGAACTCCTTGACGAGGTTGGGATCGCGACTGGAACCCAGATTGCCACTCTTCGCGGCGACTATGGTCCGTGCTGCAACCTCGTCGTATGGAGAGTGCGAGTAGTCGTCTTCGTCAACCCATTTGTCAAGGGGCAGTATCCCTGCCGGCACGTGTGTCTTCTTTGCCAGTCCATCTGCGTCGGGACCTTCGTCGTCCTCCACCGACAACGCCTTGGATACAGCAGCTTCTTCGGAGGATTGCTCGTATTCATCGGAACCGTCATCAGAAGCGACAGCCTCGTCTACGGCTGGCGCTTTCGCCAGATTCCTGTTGGTACGTGGCGGATGGCGTCGGAACGGGATATGGTCAGGGTCGTTGGCGGGTGTGGCGATGCCGGATACATCGCCCACTCCTTGAGCGCCGGTATCGCCAGGGTTGTTCTTGCTGCCTTCCATGGGGTTTGCGAGCTCAAGAGGAGATGCCACGCCATGCTGTAGCCTCGAACCTGGCTTCTTAAGGGTGCGCCGGGTGTTTGCTGTGCGCGTGTCTTCAGCAGTTTGTCTCGGACGCTTACGAGCACCAAGACCCTGAGCATTGTCGTTAGCAAGAGCCATGATCTTGTCGCAATCGGTCTCACTTACTTGTGTCGCAGTCTGCATGCCGCCAGTCGCAACTCCATCCTGAATCCGCAACTTCAACTTCACGATTAACGATGTCTTCGGTCGGTCGGTACGTGCCCGCTTGGTGCCAGATGGACTCACTGTGGCACTACGCTTGCGCTTGCGCTCGCCGTCGACCGGACTAGAGACCGCCTCCGCTGTCGGATCGACCAATGGTACCGCCTCTGCCGCATTCTCATCTCCCGCCATACGCACATCTCCATCTTGATCTCGATTCGCTGCTTCGCCGTCGATCGGGGTAGCTTCATCTTCTTGAGCGCTGGCCTTGGTCTTCGCAGGCCTCACCGTGGTCGTCTCTTTCTTCTGTTCTAATTCAGACCTTGCTGCTGCGTTCGCGCTACGCTGTTTCTCTCGCTCTGCCTTCTGTTCCTCTTCCTTCAGCTTCTTATTTAGCTTCGCGATCTCCTTCTGCCTATTCACCTCTTCTTTCAACTTAGCCTTCTGTGCGGCGGTCACTTTGTCCTTGATATCAGTGTCGCTCAGAGACAGCGGATAGTTTCTGTTATCAAAGTCCAGAAAGATCCCCACAAGGGCATCCTTCGATATACCGTTGAAATTTGTAAGTGTGTCGTCGGCTTTCTTGAGCGTCGGTCGAAGGGCTGGCTTATTGCCCGAACTGACGTTCACCGGCCAATTCTCGTAGTCGTCCGCCATCGTGTGCAGTATCGCGCGCTGCCGGCTGTCTTTCTGTAGGCGCTGTCTTGGTGCGGTGGGGTCGTGCGATCGGAGCGAGATGGGCTGCGGAGGTGTGCGCCAAGGATCGTGACTGGGGTCGCGTCGTATGCGGAACGGCACGCGAGTCGCACCAATGATACGCTTGCGATGGAAGTTGCCGAGCCTGTATCCCAGGGTGAGTGACCATGCTGCGAGCAAACCCTGGAGGTGAAGCGTCCCTCACGTGCGACGTCCCGCTCTGACCCTACACAGCGCAACCCTAACCGGATTGGGGGTACGTCGTCAATCAATGTTCGACAACAGTATGTTCGACAACAGTGTGAGCCACGAAAGCTTCTGCTCTGTATAAGCTTCCAAACGAGCAGCAGCGTTGCGGAACACTGCGGCAGTCAGATACAACAGGACTTGAGCTTTACTCGGCTCTTGGCGTAGTATGTGTCTCGAACTAATTGCTCAGACTTTAAGGATTGCGATGTCTCTTATTTAATAAGAAGTACCTTTTGCGTATATAGTAGTTGTGTATTTTAGAAGTTATAAGTAGCTTATCTTGCTCTGCGTTATTGCAGTACTATAGATAGAATAAAAGGGAACTAGAATATTAAGTCGCACACCGCAGTAAGTTAACAGTTAAGGAATATATAAGTTGCTTTCGCGACTCACACCAAACTAATTGCTCAAAGCAAAGCGCGCGCTATGAAGAAGCACAACGTGCTGAAATTGTGAGAACTATACTAAGTTTGGTCTATTCTAGCAGACTGCGAGATCGAGCGCGAGAAGAGCATCGCATGCATCTCCATGCCATGCACCGGCTGTCACCCCAGTCCAAGCTTGCACCTACACGCCCACGCTCCTTCTTGTCGTCCTTTTCGCCAAATATCGAAGAGATAAGCGAAGGGTTCTACTTCTTGCTCTTACGTTTTGACTGCGTCTTCTCCTCTTTCTTAGATTTAGATGTCTTCTTAGCTTTCCCCTTCCCGGTTGACGCGGGAGAGTTCTCTTCGGATACGTCAGTATCTACTTGTTCGCCATTCTTATTCTGCTCATCGAGTTCTTTTTTATATTCAGTCGACCAACCTTCACCCAGTTCAGTAATCCTTTTCTCAAGACGATTTGCGACACTCCGATCCTTCAGGATATAGTGATGAATAGTACCAGGTTGTTTCGGGTTGTCGTCATAATCATTAGCACGCTTGTGGAGCTCCGTAACATACTGAGCACTCTGAGCTTGCTCTCGATACTTCAAAGCTGTACGGACTTGTGGGCGATTGTATTGCGTGTAGTCATGTTTTTTCGCTTTCTTTCTTGGCGATTGAGGTCGAGGTTCGGACCCAGTTGGCGGCCCACCAGCAGGGTTGGCTGGTGCTCCTGGATCATTGGTGTCTTTCTTTTCCCCCTTTTCACTATTGTCATCATCATCACTACCGCCATCATCATTATCACCACCACCGCCACCACGGGGACAACCTGCTAAACCACTGCACTCGCGGTAACTGATTGCAAACAAGTCGTTTTCGTCGTCGCTAGAATCGCTGTCATCATCTGGTATATCCTCCTCGGTCGGTGGGTCGTAAAGCTCATTCGGTGCATCTCGCTCGTCGGAAGTCTTCCAGTCGTTCCATGTCTCGCCCGCTGAAATGAACAGACCACTCTCCAGTCGCGTCCTGCTAAGATCATTCGCTGTTGATAATGCGTCATTAACGTGACTATTTGTCGGTAGTCCTCCTGAAAGCCCTGTCTCTCGTGCTCGACGTTCTGAGTGTGACTCGTCCATCTTGTCATCCTTATTCTCATCCTCTACTTCCCTCCTTCTCTTCTCAATAGCTTCGACATCAAGTTTCAGATTGATCGGCGGATCGATTGGCGGAAGTCGCGGTCTACCTAATCCCACAGCTTGACTCTTTGCCCTTGGTATCCTAACGTGTAGGTGATGTGGCCCCATGTTGTCGTAATTGAGTGTCTCCGTTTGACCAACTTTATCATCTTCAAGCGATTTGAGGATTGGACGTAGGAATTTATCGTAAGCATCGTCTCCTGAAAGTAGCCCAGGTGGCTGCCCATCCCGTATGGACTGCTGTATTCGATCTTTCACCTTATCAATGTCCTTGAGATACTGAGAACGGAATTCAGGCGTTTGATAATATAGAAAGTCTTCATACAAGGCAGTCGCATGTCTTCGTGCACGATGGGCTACCCAGCGGACTCTACGGTCAAATTTCTCCTGTCCGCCCACTGCCCTGTTGGCCGCACCAACGAGAGCTTTCCGATTTCCGGCATTGAAATCTTGCGCCCGAGCTCGGTTTGTGAGGTGTTCCTCAAAATCGGGTATCTCGGCTTTCTCCTTCGTATCTTTGATTTCTTGCGAGAGTTCCTGTCTTTGTGCTTCCAGGTGCTCGTACACACTCTGGGACTCATTGGCATCATCTTCAGATCTAGGACCGTTGCCCCGTCTCCCTTTCCTGGTATTGGCGCTCACGTTACTGCTCTGCAATACTGGCGTCGATGTTCTACCCGCTCTTGGATTTGGGCTATCTGTATTTCTGGCGTTTCGGGCGTTTGGTGTTTCTTCTGCGCTACTTGCGGCATCCGGATCAAGTCCTGCGCGTTTGGGCGGCATCTTCAGCCGAGAAGAGGGGGGAAGCTCTGGAAGGGGAATACAATACGATATATAGCAAGTGGGAAGCTTCAGGAGCGTTCAGTAAGATAGCGTGACGAAGCTGTAGTTGTTTAGATGAACGAGACTGATATTTCATGCTACGTTCTTTGTTTTGAGCGCTTTTGTAGAGTACAAAAGGGATATGTCGTATTCATCATCCCTGCGTCGCCGTTCCTGAACAAAGGGTTTGAAGACTCTGCGACACGACACAAAGCATCCTGACGTGAAGTATTCGCTTGCTATCGCCCAACACTAGTGTGCCCATCCATCCATGCCAACATCATGCCCTACCATTCTTCGTATATGTCCTCTTCGGAATCGTTCCTTGATGGCGACGCTCCGCCACCCATCCAGAGGTCTAGGTCCTTCCCTTCTTCTTTTGCCTGATTCATGAGACGCTCGTGCAGACGCCATGAGCCGAGCTGATCAGTAGGGGCAGGTTTGACACCAGGTCGGATGTGTCCGTCCAGGGGAGCACGAACTGTCTTGTGCACGACACGAAACTGCTTTGCGAGGCTAGGGTCTGAGTAGTGACCTAGTGAGCGCGCTTCGTGCAGCTTCTTTTCCTCCTCTTCATCTTCTAGACGCTGCTCCTCCTCAAGTTGTTTAGCAGTCTTTAGCGTGCCATCTTTATTGAGCATCTTTTTCGCTGTGCTAGCTTTGGTGTTCTTCTTCTTGCCGTTGCCGCGCCCACCCGCTTGACTTCTAGTACGATGTCGCCCTGAAGCTGGCACTTGCACCTCTTCAACATCAGTCTCGAGCCTCTTGTCGTCTTCTTCGCGGTTGTGGGTCAATGCCTCGTCCATACTACCGCCTTTGTGTTCCCCAGACTCCCTCAGCGCCAGCGCAGCGATGCCCTTGTTCACTTCGAGGTCCGTCTCGGTAGGAAGCGGCTGAAGGTTTCGAGGCTTGCGGAGACGCGTTCGCGGCTGAGCCAGTGTTCGAGTTGGCGTGCTGCCCTCGACAGCAGTTTGTGGAAGGGAGTCGCCGTCATCTGGTTCGTTTCGGCCCTCCGTTTCGATGTCGTAGTCCTTCAGAGGAGCGTTGGCATTGCTGCGGGGCTTTTTAGCCGCTGTGACTTTAGTTGGCACAGCCTTGCGTTTCTTCGACTCCGTTGGCCCCGTTTCGGCCTTCTTCCGCGTCGAAACGACCTGCTTAGGGACGGCGGATTTAGTGGCCTTGTCCGAGCGCGGTAGCAGAGCCGCCATAAGCGGGACGTTTTGTAGATCCCAGTCTGTCAGTAGTTCAACTAGTTTGCCTTTCTTTATTCCTTCTTGATGGAGGTTGTGCATGCCAGCTGCGTTAGCCATTGGCCGCAAGTGGTCGTTGATCGCGTATTTGGCGTAATCAATTGGCTTGAGGTCTTTAGCATCCGCTTTCGCTGTTGACGGGTCGTGCTGATCTAAAATCTGAATGGCGCGTTCAACGTCGTCTGGTAGGATCCTTGGAGGTACCACCATTTTGTGCCGCTGAAGGACGACGTGGGCTCTCAGCGCAGAGGTCTGCTCAGTCGTCGCCCAAGGGGGGTGGTTCTTGCTGCTGGCTGGGGCCATGGTGTCTGTGAAGTTTTGTTCAGCGCATGCAACGGGTGTCTTTGGCTGCGGATGCGGCGCTCGGAGGTGCGTACAAGCGAAGTGTGAGCGCACAGCGTAGGGGGCGCTGTGCAGCGGTCGTGCTCGGACGCGTCGAGAAGATGTCAAGATTGAGATCAAGCGCAAGCAGCGGCATTAAACAGTGCCAAGCTGATGGGTGACCTCTACGCCGGTCTCGTCAACGGTTAGCTCCGATACATCTCCAGAACCGTGCGGTAGTTCGGCGTGCTGACATAAACAAGGAAGGGGTGTCCACCACGTCCTACTCGCATAGAGCATGACCTACCAGAGTATTCGTTCACCATCCCCCCAGCCGCACCCCCTCCTGAATCACTCAACTTCACAGTCGTTGCACCTTGGACTGCCCATTACTCCGACCGCAAATCACACCACCAGCGCAACTGCTCCACCCCAACCACAATCACAACCTACACCATGGACCAGACACCAACCACAAATCTAGAAATGGATCCGCCATCGTCTCCACCCCATACCGGGATTCGCGCCTTTGCGGAAGACCTTGAAAAGGAGACCACTGAGTGGGAAGAATACAGCGCGACCGGTAGCTCCGTTGACGCTTTCGACCAGACTGATAACACTGTCAGGAGTCCTAGACTCTCTTCGCGTCACGCTGACATCGCCCGCAACCGTCCACTCCCGCGCGCTACAACCCACGTCCCCGAGTTCCGAGACCGCGATACCACCAAAACTGGTGGACAGGAGGAGGCAACGTCTATTCGGAAGACGGACCACCATGAGACAGTGGACGAAGAGGAAGACCTGGCGGAATTGGAGGCACTGATATCACCGCAGGAGATGCAGTCGTCCCCTCGGCAGCTCGAGGCGTCTCCCGCTTCAGAATGGCAACCCATCGACAAGTCTTCGTGGGACCCTGCCGGATTTCCGACCAAGTCCGGATGGCGTTCCATCAACGACCCAGCGTTCGGCGAGAACCTCAGCCAGGAGACAGCCACAGATAAGCCCTCGTGGAATACCGCCGGTTTCCAGACAGACTCGGGATGGCGGACCATCAACGATCCAGACTTCGACGAAGACTTTATCGAAGAGACGCCCACAGACGAGCCATCAACGGCGCACGCAGGCGACATACCCGATGAAGGCGATGAAGACTCGGTGGCTGATTTCCCGTCTGATCCTGCTGACGATGCGAAACCTTTGAGAGAGCCGGATGATAGCGACGATGTACTCGACGAAAAGTACTTCAGGCACAACGGCTACCTGAACTACATCAACAACGTCGAGGACGGGGATGAATCCGACTCTGCGACGGAGAACAAGAAGACAGGTGTTCAAACCAAACTCAAGACAACGAAGAAGAAGGAACTCAAAGTTGTCTTTGGCTCCTCGCCTGGTAAGTCCACGGGACCTGGAAAGTCTTTGCCATCGCCAAAGAAGTCTACCAAGACGTCCACCAAGCCGCCAGCCACGGGGGATACATTGACGAAAGACACGGGTCGCGATAACCTCAAGGTCGACGCTAAAGCTGAGCGAAGCTCCAGCCCTGCCTCCTCTTCGGATGAAGCTAGCGGATGGGAGGTGGTAGACGGCAACATCGACGCCCCACGAACGGGCAACAAGTCGATCCACAAGCTTACGATCAAGCTACACAACAACGTGACCGGTGAGTCCAAGACCGTCACGTACACTGACGTTGAGCTCGATGACATCGACTGGAAGTCCAAGCCCCAGATCGTCGCGATAACACAATGGCGCACCGACGTTTTCAAGCAACATGGAATTGGCACCAAGAAGGCTGCATACCCGTACACACCACTGGAGGACGCCTGGATGACGCTCTTCCACAGGAAGCTGCGCGCGACCATCGATGCGGGCCACGTTATAAAACTCCCCGGTCCAGTCTCCGTGATGGAAGCCTTCAACGCCTTTTTCGAAGGCAAGGTGCTCAAAGACGCGAACGGTGCTGATGCACCTTCCAGACCACAACGCGACGTGTCGTCCATCCGGGGAAAACTCGATGGCAGGGTTAGCAAAGTTGCTACGGAGAGGAAGAGCATGAGAGGACTTCTAGAAGGGAAGACGGGCGGTATTTTGTTTGTTCCGAATGTGACAGAGGACGAGCTGAGGCAGTTTCAGGTGGACGAGTCGGTTGCCGTTGACGACCCGACTGAGGTTGGTAAGAATGCGGCTTTGGATGTTGAGGGGAAGAAGAGTAGGCGACCATCACCGAAGAGGAAGCGGGATGAGAACGATGCGGGGGATACGATGGCGAAGAAGACGAAGCGATAAGCTGAGGTGATCAGGATTGGTATCGAATACGGAGATGTTTAAGCCGGTACCTTTGGCCCCAGTGCGTATGTTAGCGATGGTGTTGCACGTCGAAGAAGAGGTCTCGTTGTACGTATGAGTCGCACATTGCAGTAGTCAACCCAAAATTCATTTGCCTCAGATATGTCGACCAAATCGCAGTCGCGCTCAACCCGTCTTGTCTTCCCAGATCTTCAGGAACAGCTTCCACAGGATCGAAAACAGAATGCCCTGCAGACCGTTCGCGATGATTCTCGTCTTCAGTCCGCGTCCAAATAGACCCAGTCTACCGTCTTGACGGATAACCTGCTTGGCAGCCTCGGTGTAGGATATCCTTGTGTCGTTGACCTGTCGATAGGTCTTGACAACGCGTAACGAATTCGATATCGTGTCCGAAGCGACCGAAGCGCAGAAACCGATGAAAGCCGCCCGTAGCAACCACCATCCGATCTGCTGTCTCGATGGCTCTGTAATGGTTTCAGAGAGGAAGTTGTATACGGCGAACCAGGGGTAGTGTCCAACGAAGGTCGCTGCTGCGGTCGCAAAAGCACCCCACCACAGAGAGCCGATGCCGTCGGTCCTAATGCGCTGCCGGAGTAGACCCCAGCCACTAGATCCCTGGGCCTGCAAAGTAGTTTTCAAGGTATCGATTGGGGTTAGTAGCATCCTGAAAGCTGCAGCGCACGCAGATGCAAAGATAGTCTGAATGGGCGATGGAAGCTGCTTCAAGAAGCCGTTGGACTGCAGCAAGGCCAGAATACCAGCGTTAGCGGCTGTGTCTCCGAATCGAGCGATGGGCCCCTGGAAGAGCGCAGCACCCATGCCTTGGTAGTATCGACCTATACCACCGTCTGCATACAGAGTCTTGGTTGCGACAGTCGTTGATGTTCCGTGGCGATATTGGTAGTTCATGATCGTACGAATGGGCATCAACAGCAACACTTGCAGTATCATCGCCGCAGCACCACTCAAACCCCCACCTAATGCACGCTTCAATGCGCCTTTGAGATCGAACTACGCATGCTGTGAGCTCTTGGAGTTTAGATGTAACGCGACAGTGCAGAAGAACATACATCGACGTCATCAGCCTCGATCCAGCCTTTGATGAAGACGGCAACGACCAGTATCGCGAAAACGGCAAGAATGCCTCTCCAAACATAATACCAGGTCTTGGATGCCGCCTTTTCCGGTTGGTCGATGATTTCGTCGCTTTCCGATGGTGTGGGCGTGTGCTGACGCGCGGCATCATGCGAGAGCAAGGGCGCGCGCTCATCTGGCACGCTACCGCCTTCTAAGTCGCGTTGAGAAGGCATCGTGGTAGGTATATGGTGTTGAAGTGCGACGTTACACAGTAAGTCGCCTCCATTCGACGCGTGTTGAGATGGATTACCAATCCGGAGCGATGACGCGCACTCGGCTATACCTTTAGGCCGGACGACGCGGACCCACTTCGCGCTCACGTGACACTCAGTCCTGGTGCCATCTCAAAGCAACTCATCGACGTTCCAAAAACCGTACCGCGTTTCTCAGTTTCACGATGTATCTTTCTCACGGACGATAACGAGAACATCCTCACCTCCTTCTCAACCTAGATATCGTCAACTGCTCAATGTGGCGTGCGAAAGTTGTTTTTCCAACTGCTCGCTAGTAGATGTGCGCTGTTGCGATTGCGCGGCATGATTCAAATCATGATAATGTTTACGGCGCGATAGAAAGAGGCGCATTCACAAGTCGACGAAATGGTGACCGGGACAAGCTTCAGCGACTCTGAATAAATAAACTGTCATAAGGCCTCTGATCGGTGTGGAATACCAAGATCGCTTGCTTTTCGAGCCAAGACTCATACGGGGCTGTGAAAAGGTCGTCCCATGTGAACTCGACCCGAAGCATCGCAGCAACGCTTCGCTCGCTTCGACTGGGCGACACAAATCCCATTGGCCTTGCCACTACAACGGATGATATATGCCGTTTACCCATCCGAGTTCCATCCATCACGCCCCCGGATCATGCAGCCGTGACAGCCAGGCACAGCCGCAACTGCATCGCTAAGAGGGCCAATCATCGTGGACCGCATACGAGACCCGAGTTACCTAAGTACTTAGGCTCTGTTGTAAACAAGGCCACCAGCGCCAATTTGTGGTAAACCAACACAGGTTTTCCGCCACATTCCAGTCACTTGAGCAGAACGCCAACTCAGTGAGATGATAGCCGCTGTAACCGTCCAAGCCAAGATACTGCGCCCTGGGCTTGGCTAACCGGTGAGGATGCCCTACTATAACCCCACGATGCTTAAAGGAACGTGAAGACCTCGCGGGAAAACGTTGGTGTTGTGCATATCGCGAATCATCTCCCACTACACCTAAATTCACCACCACCACAATGGCATCCCTCCTCTCAACCATGCTCTTCGCAGCCAGCGCATCAGCCCAAGTAACAACCTCCTTCTGGATGCCCTCCAACGGCCTCGGAACAGACAACATCGGCTTCATCGGCTCCGTCATCGCCGCCAACGAAACCCACACCACCGTCGCCGTCGAATACGACGAAGGAACCGATCTGGACGCTCTGAGTATCGGTGTCAATGGTCCCATGACCATGACCATAGGTCCCGAATACTACGGCACCACAGTCGACGTTGGCATCGCCGGTCTCGGCGACGACGACGAGGACGACACCTACGCACTCGACTGCACCTGGCCGACCCCCGAAGAAGCAGGGTCGAACCGCACATGCACAGTATCTTACCCCCCGGGCCTCGCTAGTCTTCTCTGCGAGAACCCCGCGTACATCTCGACAACTGAGGAGATCTGGACGCGGACACACACGTATCCTGCGCGCGGCTCCGAACCTGCAGGTACAGAGACAATCAGGCAAACTTTGAGCTATGGCTATGGCTCTGCTGTCTCGTCCGTCTCCCAGCCAGCGTACTGCAGTGAGAGTGGTGCGCCTGAGGAACCGTACGTTTCTGAGGTGGAGATCGAGGCGACGCAGTTCGGTACTTACTATCTTGTTATCACTGCGGGGACGGAGAAGTTGGAAGCTACTGCTGCGGCTACACCAACGATGTCGAGTGCCATGTCTACGGGTGCTTCTACGAACGCGACAGGTGCTTCTGGGACTGCGGCTGTGCCTGAGGTGACGGAGGCTGGTGCGCCGATGGTTAGGGGTGCGCCGCTGTTGGCTGGACTTGGTGCTGCTGCTGCTGCGTTCTTTGTTTAGTTTGTTCACTTGAGAAATGAGACAGGGTGATGCAGATCAATATAACATGGAACATTCGTTTAGTAACTTCTTAATACATGCAACCACTATTATACCTACCGAGCACAGGCCAAAACTTCTAGCCATGCCACTATCCCGAAACCTTCGTACCAGAACCACAACATATCAACCAACCAGTCTCACTAAAACCCGAAAGCATCCAACAAACTATTCGCATCCGGCTCATTGAACTGAGTCGGTGGCGGTTTCTTCTTCGGCTCCTCCTTAGGCTTCTCGTCATTCTTCTTATCCTCTTCCTCTTGCTCCCCCTCTTCTTCACCATCCTCTTCATCACTCTCCCTACTTTCCTCCAGCGTCCCCTTACTTTCCGCCAAATCGTTATGAGCATGCTCTCTTACCGGTAAATCGGCGATAACAAGTGAACTCCTCCTACGTAGCAGTTTCCTAGGATCAAAGTCAAAGTCCGTCGCAGATTGGTTTCGGCCTCGCGATTGATAGCTTTGACGCGGCATCGAGGGGCTCAGCGGTGGACGACCGGACGTTGCTTTCGTCGGTGGTGGTGGGAGTAAGAACTCCCATGTCTTGACTAGATCGAGGGCGAGGACGTCGCAGCCCATGCGGTCGTATAGGCCAGCTGTATGTAGCACAAAGTCCCACTCTTCGCGCATGCCTATCATTGTGGCTCCGCGTAATGTTTGAAGTGATTTCTCGCGGAGTTGCTTGTACAGGACTACCAAGGCGGGGTCTTCGGTGAGGTACGATTTAGCGGCTGAACTGGGCGGGTCGGAGGTCTCGAGTAGAGCTGTCAGCGGTGTGACCAGCGAGCGAACGGCCATGTCTTTCTTGTTCAGTAGCCAGTATGCCCATGTTGCGAGCCATCGATTGCCCTCTCTCGCAGCTTGAGGCAGGATCTTATCTCTCAAGAAGTCCAGCAAGATGGGCGAGTCGTCACCACCGTAGACGCGGGCGACTGCTATGGCGAGCTGCGTATCACCAAGCTGGTTATGAAGAACGCTGACAGCGTCTTGTAGATGATCTGCAAGTAGGAAGAATGATGCAGCATACTCGAATCTTCTCCTGCCCATCAATGCGTACGCGTTCTTGAGAGCAGCGGTTTTCCAGCGGTCTTCGTTGAAGTTGTTCGATAGTAGTCGATGGGTTGCACCCTGTTCTCTCGACCAAGTAGCCATCCGCCAAAGACCGACTAGGACTGGTTTCTTCCGGAGAGCCATGTAGTATAGGGCGCAGTCGACGGGGTTCTTCTCGTCGGTCTTCGTGTACTCGTTCCGAGCGATCACCTCAAATTGGGCGCGCTGTAGATGTCGTTAGCAACTTTTACCGACAAGGAAGAGTGTACCGTACCAATGCGTTGATGTCGGACATCCACATGAACACGCCACACTCCTTTGCGTGCTGCCACATCATCTTCCGGCTAAAATGTCTGCTAACAAGGTCCACAAGGATATCCTGACTACCTGAGTGGAACGCCCAGATGATCTCGCGCCACGAGATGGGTCCCTTGTGCGTCTCACTCAGCACATGCTGTCGGAAGAACAGTAAGAAGCGACCAGCGTTATCATCAATGGATCGACGATGCTTCTCTACCATGCCGATACACTCGATGATGTCGGCCAAGCGAAATTGTTCGCGACTGGTCAACAGCGGTATCCGCTTAGTGGTCAGAAGCTCTTTGAGACTAGAGGCGACTTCTTCGGTGACTGCTTCAGGCTCGCTGTCGTCAGAGAAATCGGCGTATGATGAATGCACCTCTTTTCGAGATGCAGTCATTTGAGTCTGCAAAGGTTAGTTACATCTAGATAGAGCTGTTCATGTACATACCTCAGCTTCTGAGAAGTCTTCAGGTGCGAATCCGAGCGAGCTGTCAAGCTCTTCACCTTCGATCCAAAACTTGAGTGTAGTGTAAAGCCGAATCAGGATACGCTGCACCAGTAGCAGCTTGCCGGCCAAGACGCATTGTGAAAGTAATTGGGGATGGTACGCGGGTAGGGGACCGTTGAGTCTGCTAACCGCATCGAATATGTCGATAGATGCCGTCTTCCGTGAGATGGTACGTAAGCTAGGGAATAGCCCTTCGGACACCTGGACATGCTCATCTTGAATGAAGAGCTGGTTGCCTGCGCCAATGACCAGATTACCACTGCTTAACCATACCGAATCGCCTATCGGATGTGGCGTGATGTCGCGAATGCGCACGTCACTGATCTGTACCCAGGATGGACCGGCGTTCAGGTAATCGTATCGCAGCTGGGCATAGATGACCACACGGTGGGGGAAGCCAACAGCAAGTATGGACTGGTTGTCGGGGGTAGAAGACCAGTCGAGATCCTGGATGATACCGCTGCCTTCGAATGTTTCTTCATGTTCCAACTGGGCGCTTCGGGTGTTCCATATAGTGAGCGTAGTTCGATCAGCATCGGCCAACGCAGCCTTACGTATCGACGTGCCACTAGCAAGTGATGGGTTCTTGACGCCAGTCTCGACCTCTGAAGTCAACAGCCAGTCCAGTTTTCGATCTTCGATGTTGACACGCGCAGTCCAGGATTTGATGATTCCGGATTTCGTGTATGAGATGGCTATGTCTCGCGCAAAGGTGTCAAGGAAACCCGAGATGACGGGTGCTGTGCCAGCGGGGTCTACAGGCAGCACAAAGGCAAGGTCGTCGCCAGATCCAAGGTTGAATGTGGAGAACTCCTTGAGCGTGATCTCTGAATGACCGTTGGTATAGCCATTAGTTTGCGCGATGGCGGGCTGTTCCTCACCCGCAGGTGCATCTCGCTCTGGCTTTGGCAGTGTGACCTCCCAGCAGATGCCTTTCATCTCGGAACTGATGGTGGCGATGTGTATGCGCTGTCCGCCAACTTCGACCTCTGGTATCACTAGCAGACACAGAGGTTTACCCTGGAGTTTGTACGCGAGCCGTGTCATCTCAACGGCTTCATGATCACGGGTGTCCCAAACCGAGATCTCGTCATGATGTAGGAAGACAATGAAGTTACCCTCTTGCAAGAGAGCAGTACGATGGATGTGCTCCGTCACTTTGACGCTGCAGTGTCGATGTAACGGCATGCCCCGATCGCTTTGCCGCTGTAGCCATACAATGCATTCATCTGTCGTGGTCCGCGATACCAATGCTCTTCCGCTAGCTGTGCGATTGACCTTCTTGATGGCATGCGAGTGCCCCGTCCACATAGCCTTGCGCTGAATGCGCTGTGGCTGTGACGAAGGGTCGAACAGATAATCGATGCGCGACTCTAGCCACTCGATGCGCCCGTCAAAGTGATGCGATAGCAGGGTCAACTCGGAGTCGGGTTTGTCGCCGATAAACGCGTAGAATTGTACATTGTCTTCAATGGGCTTTGGTTCCTTCGCGAAGTGTAGATGAAGTCCATCGACATGCGCAATATTGAAGACGTCGGTGACCTTCTTCTGTTTTGCACCCACGTTCTCAAAACCCCAAGCGGACATGTTGCCTCTATCATCCAGCACAACGCATATCTCCGGGTTGCGGTTCGCGACTTCTATCAGGTGATGCAGCGCGATGCCGTGGTCTTTCTCTTCCGCCGAAGCCTGTTGCATCGCTCTTTCCGTCGCGTGTGTGAAGTGCTTGCCGTCGATGAAGAAGGCATATCGCTTCTTCGACTGCTGCTCCAGTGGCACATGGCGTGACATTATGGACTCGACGAGGTCCACATCAGCCCACATGTGCATGCCATCTACGCCGTGATGCTCTCCTGGTACCCAGACTCGCACCTTCTGGTCCGCGCATATTGTGTATAGTACGTTGTCCGTGGACTGGTCTTTGTGGTATGGGTGCCGCCAATGCAAGCCTGTGATGGCCTTGGGGTGTGGGAGATAGAAGTAGTCGAAGCTCTGATCCGCCGAGCCGAAGGATGTGCGTCGCCATATCTTGAGGAGGCGGTCGTGCCTGCCTGTCGAAGCTATCAACTCGGCATCGGGCGAGAAGTGGGCGAACTTGACGGGGTTCGCTAGCTGCTTTGTCCATATCCGTTCGATGTCGCTGTGGGTGTTGAAGAGGGTGAGGGATGCGCTGCCGACGAGCAATTCGTCTGGCATGCCCCATGAAAGGGTCGTTATCGTATCATCGGCGTCAGACAGGGACGTGCTGCCCTGTTGCGACCACTGCGCATATCAGCAGTCATTCCTAGCTGCCCCTCCTTATGTGCCCACCTTGATTGCGCCCTCATCTTGCCCGTATGGCCGGTATATGTATATGTGTCGCGTCGAACATGCCGCGAGCTTGCCGGTGCCCTCGTCGATCGCGACTGCCTCGAGCTCGAATTCTTCGTCGATGTAGATGGTTTGGAGGACGTGGTTGGGTCGATCGAGAATGATCAGCGCGTTACCGGAGATGTAGACCTACACGAAGCGCAAGTCAGTCTTTGTGCGCGTCGCAAAGGTGTAGTCATACGATTATCTGCAGGCCTTCCCACAGGCCATGAGCGACAGCTTGGAGCTTAGCCTGGGGTCGCCCAGGGAGAATGTCGCGCATAGAAGTTATCGAGCACTGCTACCGTTGGGTGCGCATTATTAGGTGCCTTCTGGGTATCAAGTGGCGTCCAGTCCAGAGTAGTACGTGTGGGGTTCTGTTAGGCTTCCGGTGCTTCGCGGTACGAGATGCGACACCTAGGGTTCCTGGAGCGTTGAAGCTCACGCGCACGATCCACGTGGTATGTCGTCACCTCAGACATCGGCAATCGTGGAGAAGAGATGCGGCACAGCTACTGCTGCAAGCGACGTGAACGGGTGGGGAAGGATACAATTCGCCCTGTCACAGCAAATGGGATGTTGCGTGTAGTCAAGATGCATTGTCGACGCTTGGGGGTCGCCGCCAGCCTTCCGCGTGCATTTCGGAATCGGAACACTAGCGCGAAATCAGAAATGTCGGCCCGGCATCGATTGAGGTGTCGCGTCCAAGCTACCTAGGTATGAAGACGCGTTTTAGTGGTATCTAGTATCTACAACTGCCCTTCTCTATTCCCCTATGCCATCGTTCGTTGCACCTTACCCTCAACATCGCCCTGCTCGCCCTTGCCCTTCCACTCCACCGTCACCGTAATCCCGCGATCATCGCCCTTCTCCTTCGCATACGTCAGGCTTCCCTCCAATACCGTGCCCTTCTTATATGCTTGCTTCTCCGCGACCTCTGGATCGAGCAGCAGTACTGCCTGATGCCAATGTGTAGGTGTGTTGCTCGGACCCGTCGAGAAGCCTAAGCCCGGAATACCGTTCTTGCCCCAATCAACGTTGTCAAGCGTCTTGACATCCTGTGAGCTGCCAGGGTGGATAAAGATAGTGTCGAACCATATCGCAATGGCCTGAAGAGATGTGATGTCGCGATCGAGTGTCATGCGAAGAGGCACCTTGAAGCTTAGATCCTGCACGGACACAGTCTTCATCTCCAGCAGATGACTTGTCGCAGTGCCGCAGAGCGCCTTCTCAGGCACGTCAAAGACACCGATTTCGTGTGTGTTGAGCAGACCACCTGGGATCATGGGTGAAAAGTCGAATCCATAGATGTCTTTCCAGAACTTCTCACTCGTGCTGTCTGCTATCCAGTCGGCATCTGAGATTGGGGCAAGACGGATGTTGCAGTGGGATGGTACCATGATGCCGTCAGGCTTGAGGTACATGTCCCGTGCGCGCAGGACCGAATCCAACATGCCTTCGAAGAGGAGACCGTAACCCATCCATTCCGAGATGATGATGTCGACCTTCTCCTTGCCGATTAACCGCTGAGTATTGAAGTCCTCAGCGCGGCCTTGGATCAGTTCAATGCGGTCTTGGTAGCCGTTCTTCGCAATGATCTCCTTCGCGCGGACAGCGATGCCAGAGTTGTCGACTGCGAACACCTTCTTCGCGCCTGCACGGGCGCAGAAGAGGGACAAGATACCAGTACCGCACCCGACGTCAAGCACGGTCTTTCCAGCAAAAACCTCGGCGTTCTTCTCGATGAAGTCACGGTACCCTTCTGTTCGTACGCGATCCTCAATCATCTCGCGATGAATGCTGTTGCCCTTGTACGACTCGAAGTAGTCCTGGTCACGATCGTTGGTGAGCTTGATCTTGGAGAAGTCTTCTTGCATGTCCTTGTGCATCTTCGCTTCATACTCGTCGTAGTCGATGGCCTTGCTGTCGTCATCTGGCATTAGATCTCCAAGTTCAAAGAGTAAGGCGTCATCTTCCAACACTGGCTGTAGGTATTTGTCGCTTGTGAGATCATCTAGAGTTACTTTAATACTCTTGGGATCTGTGCCTTTTTGTGCTTCTGACCGGAGGTAGTTGATCAGCTTGATGATGGTGATCTCGTCCGCGTCTAGTGCAGGCAGTCAGTGGTTATCCGAAAAGGGTAAGGCGTAGAACGCATAGATGAGCGTTCAATGTTGGAAGCCGTACCTGGTCCAAGTCCTTTGATGGTTGCTGGCAGATCGAATCCGTTCTTAGTCTTGTTGTGCTCTACCATATCCGACACGCGAGTCCATTGTCGATCCGAAAATAGATCTTTGAAAGTAGTCGTATCCGGCTCGCTTGCGTCTTCGACGATGCTGCCAACTGAGCTCGCGGTGTCTGATTCGGTGTCTGACATGTTTTCTGGAGTGCCTTTTGCTCTTTTTGCGAACGCAGGTCTTGAAATTTACGCAAAAATTGCAATGAGGCGGGATGTCGCGTCAAGTTTCCTTTGGTGGGGGAAGGCTCTGCGGTTAGTGTGCTTTTGTGGGCGATGCTGCGGGGCAGGTTCGTCGCGCCTGCCGTATCTTACTCGCACCTCCTTTCATCCTCAACTACCCCTTCGCATGCCATAAATACATCATCTCCATCCATACCATCTACTGTGTTGATTACCCCTGAGGAACTCAGTTGCGACATGCTATCTAGCACTGCAAACCCCGGCTTGATTATGTTCGTGGTGCAATGCGACTGTTTGCGCCTTCCATGCTGTGACGCGCGGCCATACCATCGTCACAGGCGTTCTTCTCGTCAATCCTGACTCTTTACCACTCTCCCTCTACCTCACCTGGCTCTCGATACAGTCATTCGCAAACTCTTGTGTCTTTTACCATCGGAAGCAAAGTTTCACTCTAGCGACATGCATATTAATGAACAGGAGTCACGCGGGGTTTTGCTCTCATCCATTATACGCCTACATATGCTATCCATGCGTACGTTCGTTCCCAACAGTCGCTAGTGGTGAAGCCGCTTTGTTGCTGTGCGTTTATTCAATATATGACAGCGTCGTTTGTGCCTTCCTCTAGCTTCAACGCCCGCATCGAACTTTTACCGCGCTTTCGCTACACCAACCTCAGGCCGTCATCTTGATCTCGACCGTGCCAGGCATATCGGTCAGCGACTAATCAGAATCGTCCTCGAGCATCTGGCGGGCGAGCTCAACAGCGTGGTCAGTCACACGCGGCTTCTTGGCTGGTGGAAAGGCGTCGGCCACTACATCCGCTGCCTTTGCGACCTCGGGCTTCTTGTCCTCGACCTCCATGTCCTCGGCCTTCACGTCTGCGGTCTCCTCCAAATCCCCTGCCTCCTTCATGTGCTCGATCTCACTACCGTTTTCCTCCTCCTCGTCTGAGGTATCGCCTGCCTCGCTTCCGTAGCCATGCTCGACCTCCTCTTCGTCACTCTCCTCACCAAGAAGCTCAGTCTGATCTTCGACTCCGTCGCTGTCGGATGCCAGTGCATCGCGCTTGCGTTTCTTGGAGATCTTCTTTGCAGTCGACGTAATGCCGGCACCGTCGTATTCTTCGTGGACCACTTTGTCGTCGCCAGTCTGTGTGTTCACAGATCGGAACTTGGGCTTGTATGTCTTGGGCTTACCGGTGCCTTTTCGGTGATTGGCGCGCTTCTCAACTGGAAACTCTGACAGAGGGATCATGTGTTTAGGGTACCGCTCCTCATCGCCCACTACACCACCGGCTTCAACCAGAAGTCGAAAGTCTCGGGCGTGCTCACGAAGATACGCCATCGTCTTGTTCTTCGTCTCATGAGCAGACGTGATCTGTCCTCGGAGAGCGTCCAGACCACGGTTCTTACCACCAGCCTTGTTGATGGCTTCAACAATCTTGGACAAGTCAGTGGTGGTAATGGTGTCGTACGCGTCAAAACCCTTGGTGTGGACGAAGTCGTTGATGCCAGTGTACATGGCGCAAATCTCTGGGACGGTCCAGTGGTCACGGTTCTTCTTCTTCTCGTAGGCGGCGTTGGACCGGCGCGAGATCTGGTCGATCCACTTGTTGTATGCGTCTTTCCATTTCTTGTCGTTTGGATCAATGTTGGCGAGTTTCGACTGGCCAACGTGGACGTGTTCATATGCGCGGGTACGGGCGTTGAAGCGGCGGAGGGCGATGCTTGGGGTGAAGACCTCATTGATGCCTTTGAAGGTCCGCTCCCAACGGTTCTCGCTAACCTTGTTCCACTCTACCACAGGGTTGTTCTTCTTCTCCTTGTCCTTCTTGGGAACCTTGCAGCTCTCGAGGTCAGGGAAGAAGATGCAGTCATCGGCTTCGTACAAGTCCCGGTCGGCGGATTCGCGCTTCTCCGGGATTATGTTCTTCTGGGTGAACCAGCTCTTGCCGTCGGGCATTTGGATCTTGAATGTCGCCTCGATCTTGGTGGGATCAGTGTCGTGGGGCGTGAACGTCTCTTTCGGTGTGAGCTCCTTGTTGACTAGCTCTCGGCCGGCGTAGGGCGCAGGGTCGTCCGACAATTCGCCATCGCTGTCTTCGTCAACGGGGAGGGATTCTGTATACGAAAGGTATTCCGGCGGGCTGCTGGCGGGCACCTTGACCTTGGCCTTGGTCTGGGGTGTTGGCACCTCCTCCGCGCTGGGAATCTCGCGGGCCAGGCTACCGACCAGGTGGGGCGGCATCTTCTTCCGTCTCTGTCCTCTCGTGAAGTTCGATCGGATGCGTGTAAGATATGTATTGGGAGCGTAGGAGTATGCGCTGGATTGAGAAAAGCCGTGGCAAGAGGTGGAAAAGGACTTCAGAATAATCGTTAGTCGATGCGCTTCAAATGCCGGGTTGGACAGATGAGACGACTCCAACGGCGCTGCGCTGTTACTGCGTACGGGAGTTCAGTATTTCTAAACTTACGGCGCGATGTCGACTATGTTTGCGGGGTA